AGCAGTTTGAATCCAACTTAAAGCTCCCTGCACCAAACTCCCTTTAACAGTTTGTGTTCTCAGTAAAATCAGAGCTGGTTGGAGAATCAGATACTGAACCAACTGAACACTGAATCATAACGCTGTTAATTCACCAACCGCTGTGTGTGAGTGACATAGCTGTTACCATAGTAACCACAGACACACACGTGTGTCAGCGTCGCCACCATATTGGACCGTGTAAACAATTGTAGATAAACCGACACTATAACGTTTACATTTCTAGTTTTTATATCCATATCATCAGTTTGATCCTTCTTCTTTTAAAATTCCCAAATCTATAAATCAAATTTTATAAACGAAGCAATCCAAACTTTATTTACTTTTTACAATATATTTCACTAATGTATGATTTCTGTCTGTCCCCTGGCATTGTCTGTTCATGTTTTACCTGTCTCTAAATAAAGTTCTCTACTTCCTGTCAGGTGCTGGAGAGAGACTGCTCTCATTGGCTGACAACTCAGCTGGTCTGAGTTCAGGGAGCTGATTGGTCTGTGGGCAGTTAACAGCGGACTGAACCATTGCTCACAGGGGCGGGGGGTGGGGGTGGGGGTGCACTGTGACTCAAACTGAACGTTTTGATGGTTTAACAGTCAAAGTTGAAAGAAATCAAACATCTGCTGATGTAAAATGTCTCTCTGTGAGTCTGTTAGCATTTATTCTGGACGAGCTCACAAACAGGCTGTTGAACATTAATTAAGTTGGTAACCACCACCCTGTCACCACACAAACAAAAAATACAAACTCAAATTTCTGTCTTCCCGCCACTGAGAAGATCTCTGACTGCAAAACATTTAACATTAAAGAAGAAATCCGCCTGAAGTTAAAGAAAAGGACAAAGTACGTAAGAATGAAAGGATTTATTGCTGGTTTCTTTTGGGGAGAAAGTACGCTGAGAAAACAAACACCGAGCTTGTGGTTTGAACAAACATCTGTCTGTCTTCCTGCTTTAATGCTAAATGATAATACAACATGTACAGGTGTGACAGTCATTACTGTAGCAGAGCAAGAGATAGAAAGTCGAATAATGAGAAAATATCTGAAACATTACAGTGAATAAATCTGTTTTACTAACAGTGCTAGTTTCTGTTTCTTGTTGTTTGTTACATTAAACTGCTGCTTACTGTACTTTAGTCTTTGTACTCCACCAGAGCTCAGAAGGAAATATTTATTTCATATATAATTATTCAGCTTTAAAATGTGAATATTTGCTGCTTTTTCTTTGTAATAATTTAGAGGTTTGGATGTGAAGGTGTCACTGTGAACTCTGGGTAACTGACTACGTCTGATGCATCTGAGGGTGCAGGAACCGCGTCTAACATCTGTCTGTCTGTCTGTCTGTCTGTCTGTCTGCTACAGATGTCAGATATTTCACAGAAAGACTGGAAATCAGCTCTGACCTCCATCCTGGAGGAGTTGGATAAGCCACAGTACCTTAAGATGCTGGAATATTTGACAAAAATCCCCAAAAGTAAGAAGACGTCTGGACGCAGAGAGAAAATGGCCCAAAAGATCATTGAGTACTACGGAGTCAGAGAATCAATCTCTGAGATCAATAAAATAATGAATGAGATACCGAGGAGGGACGCTGATGTCCAGGACCTACTGCGCCCCTTTGTGGACGAACTGAGGAACAGCTGTGACAAAGAGAACAAGGGTGAGTTCAGATAATTAATAATAAGCTTTTAATTAATTAAAATGATCCATAACTGATAACATAATAATAAGCTTCAGTTTTTACACACCTGAGGGTCAGAAGGTCTGAGATGCAGTGAACAGAAGTCCAGACTCTTTAAATGTTTAGCATAACAACTTCAAATAAATGATTATTAATGTACTGATCCTGATCATTAGAGTAATATAAACTGCCTCACAGGGGGAGGACGTAGATTTCTCTCTGTCTGAGTGTTCATCAGGTTGGATTTAGGACGCAGCTGCTCAGGTCCAGGTCCAGGTCCATATACTATAATAAACTGTGTTTTCACTTTCAGGGATAAAGAGGAAGCGTGATCCAGCGGAGGATGAAAGCTCTGCAGCAGGTAAAGCTCCGCCGTCTAACATTCAGGGAACGCAGATTGGCCGAAACTCAAAAATATACACAGTCTCATCTAATTCTGTTTGCTTGGATTGAATGTATGATTGTTACAAAGTAAAGAAATGTATAAAAACTTCCTAAAACAATCAGCAAAACTCATCTCTGATCAATATTCACAGGAAATAACGTCTAGTTTTCCACAAGCTTCCTGCAGTTATTATGTTCTCTGTTTCATTGTTCAGTTTATCAGTGTCTTAAAAGTTAAACTGTTGTTAACATGTTATTTTCAGGGGAGAAGAAGAAGAAAAGTGATCCAGCAGAGGAGGATAAAAGTCCTGTAGCAGGTACGTTAACAGAAGATCACTTCACAACCCTGTGTAGTTTGTGTCATTTCCCAACTTTCACTGAAAAAAATATTCAGATCGCAATAATGTGACATTTGTTGAGTAGGACGGGTTATCTCTGCATATTATTCATTAAAATTATGTTGGTCACTAATTTAACCGTTATATAACATATTGCAGCTTCTGTGATTTGGGTATTGCATATTTTGATCAACTGTACAGCCCTAGCAGTAATAATTAAATTGCACTCAGGTTAAATATTAAAAATGTTAAAATTTACACTGGATGTCACACTGAAACAGCATTCTCAAACCAAAACAATGAGACAGAAACAGAATAAAACTCATTAAACCGTCTCTGTTAGTGTTTCCAACAATCACCAACTCTGGTTTGGTGGAAATAAATCCTTAATTCACCGACGTAGATGATAAAAACAGCAGTTTCA